TGCACCCCCTCCCCCTTTCGTCCGCCTCGAGCAGGAGGGGACAGAGCTGGTGGAGGGGGGCCGATGCGGAGGGGGGGCAAGGAGGAGGCGGAGGCGGAGGAGGACAAGCAAGGCTCTGGGCTGCTTCAGGACAGTCCGCCCCCCCCCCGCCCCCGAGGCAGGTTCCGCTGGACCTCAGCGCCTCCGGGGGCGCAGCAGGCTGGTGGCGCCAGAGTGCTCAGAGGCCTCACAGATGGGGTCCGAGCAGATGGGGTTGGAAGATCGCAACGCATCTCCAATGCACCGCCGATGCATCGCCGATGCATCGGCGACGTCGGCGTCACGGAAATCGGGCTCCGTATCGAGCCGCATCGCCGATGCATTGGCGATGCGGCGCGATCCTCCGACCTCATCTATTCAGACACCATCTGGGAGGCCTAGAAGTGTTGAGACCGCTCTGGACAACTCGTCGAGGACTTTCAGAGCCGAGGACCGAGGACGCAAGCTTCTGGGAGCGTTTCGCCCTTCTTGGATCTCCAGGGTCGCCCCCGTGGCCACGGGTGGATCCGCCTCGAAGCTCTGGTCAGAGCGCACCCTGGAGAGTCTCAGGGGGCGATTCTCGATCTCCGAACCCATCGGAAGACTGGGGTAATCCTGGCCGAGTGTGCCCCCCCCAGCCCTACGCACCGCTTCTGAAGCCCCTGGGGCCCTCTGGGCCTCGTGGGGAGTGCTCTGGAGACCAGGGCCACCCCGCCATCTTGGGCCAGAGCCACCCGGACTCGGGGGGGGGGGGGGGGGGGCGGGGAGAATGGCCTTGCCGAGGCCGTGCGCGTGCGCCGCCCGAAGCCCTGCGCCAGAGGCCGTCTGGGAGGAGGCCGGCGAGGACCCCGAGATCCGAAGTTGCGTATTTTCACGAGGAGGACGAGGACGAGGAGGGATGGAGGAGGAGGAGGAGGAGGAGGAGGAGGAGGAGGAGGAGGAGGGAGGAGGAGGAGGAGGGGAGGGATGAGGATGAGGAGAGGAGGAGGAGGAGGAGGAGGAGGAGGAGGAGGAGGAGGAGGGAGGATGAGAGGAGGAGGAGAGGAGGAGGAGGAGAGGAGGAGGAGGAGGAGGAGGGGAGGAGGGAGGTACAACAGCACAAGGAGAGGAGGGCGGCCCAGAGGGGGGGGGGAAGGGGCAGGGGGGATGAGGAGGAGGAGGAGAGAGGAGGAGGAGGAGGAGGAGGAGGAGAGGAGGAGCAGGAAGGAGGAGGAGCACGAGGAGGAGGAGGAGGAGGAGGAGGAGGAGGGAGGAGGAGACGAGGAGGAGGCGGAGTAGGAAGAGAGAAGGGGGGGGAGGAGGAGGAAGAGGAGAAAGGGGGGAGGGGGAGGGAGGAGGAGGAGGAGGAAGGAGGAGGAGGAGGAGAGAGGAGGAGGAGGAGGGGAGGAGGAGGAGGAGGAGGAGGAGGAGGAGGAGGCGGAGGCGGAGGAGGAGGAGGAGGAGGCGGAGGAGGAGGAGGAGGAGGAGGAGGAGGAGGAGGTCAAGGAAGACGGCAGGAGGGACGAGGGCATGAAAGTAAGGGATGGAAGACTAATCGCAGCATCGTGAGAAATCGCGACAGGAACTCTAGACCAATGATCGCGTTGAACAATGTCTTTCGTTTTTGTTTTGTTTCCGTTTTCCCGCGTTTTGTATTCAATCCGCCTTTGCTGCAAAGCGGAATAGAAACGAAAACGGTCCACGAAATCGCCACAACACCGCTCAGGTCGCCCCCCTGCCCTGTACCCCATCTTGCTGCGGCGTCTCTCGCGCTGGATCGATCCGTGAGGGCCCCGGGGTCCGAACCCGGGAGAAAACGCGCGACGTGCAAGAGCGGCAACGTGCGGGCCTTCGTCTGGCGGCGGGCGGTAACGGGGGGTGACCTGAGTTGGGGGTGGAGCAAAAGGCACTCAAGGGGCTCTTTAGGGGCCCTCTTGGGCCCCTGCTGGCTCCAAAAGGGGCCCTACAGGGCTCGTGTAGGGCCTTTTCCTAAACCTCTCATTCAGGTCACCCCCCATTGCCACCCGCCCGAACCTCAGGAGAGGAGGAGGGGACCGGTGAGCCATCCCGCCGTCTCATCCTTGAGCGGTGCCATCTGCTGGCGCCAGATCGGCTCCTCGCCGTATATGCGTATCCTCAGCATCTGCTTGTCGAAGGGCATGTCCGCCAGCTCGAGCCTCTGGCCCCCCTCCTCGTCGTCCCCGTCGTCGTCGTCGTCGTCGTCGCCGTCGTCGCCGTCGTCGCCGTCGTCGCCGTCGTCGTCGCCGTCGTCGTCGTCGTCGTCGTCGTCGTCGTCGTCGTCGTCGTCGTCGTCGTCGTCGTCGTCGTCGTCGTCGTCGTCGTCGTCGTCGTCGTCCTTCTCCTCGTCCTCGTCCTCCTGCTCCTGTCCCCAATGCCTCTTGGCCATCCTCCTATGCTTCCTCACTGTCCCCCTCCTCTTCCTTCCCGTTCTCGATCCTCCTCGGGTCCTCCTCCCCAGGTGGGGAGGAGTCCCAGGAAGGGGGGGGGGAATCAGATACGCATCCGTCCCTGGGGGTCATCCTCCCCCTCCCCTCCCCTCTCCCACGCCAGTCCTCCTCCGGTCCTCCTCCCCAGGGGTGGTGGTGTCCCAGGGGGGAGTCCTTTTCCTCCACCTTCTCCTTCTCCTCCTCCTCCTTCCCTCCGCCTCCTCCTTCTCCTCCTCCTCCTCGCCATCCTCGTCGTCGTCGATGTCTTTCAGGGTCGGCGGCGCCGGCCGTCAGGCCTTCACAATAACTCCTGCCTGCCGAACTCCCAGACGTGTTGGTAGGGTGAACCGGGCGTTTCGCCTGATACGTCCTCACCATGTATGCTCCTGGAGCAATGAATCTGCAACAGTTTCACGGATGGAGGGCGTGTCGTTTTCAAAATGTGGCTCTCACCTTAACGTCGCGTACGTTCCTGTTGCCCGTTTGCAGCCGCTTCAATGATGGAAAACAACTGGTTTTCAAACTGTGGCTGACGCCTTAGCGCCGCGCACATTCATCTTGAAACTTTGCAGCAATTCCACTGATTCAAGACAGGTGGTTTTCACAATGTTGCTCTCGCTCAGGGCCGCGCACATTCATCTGGAAACATTGCAGCAGTTCCAATGATGGAAGACAGGTGGTTTTCATCATGTGGTTCTCGCCTTAGCGCCATGCACAATCTTCTTGAAAGGTGTGCGACAGCTTCAGAGATGCAAAGTGACTCCTTTCAAACTTGTGGCTCTGGCTGTGGCGCTGCTCACGCTCGTCTTGCAGAAGCTGCGCGAGAATTCCAAGGATTTGTGCGGAGGAGGAGGAGGAGGAGCAGGAGGAGGAGGAGGAGGAGGAGGATGATGAGGAGGAGGAGGACGCGGTTCCGGGCTGTCAGGACACAGCGGTTACGTTAACATCCGCGGCGTTGCAGCCCTGGAAGTGCGTCCCGAGATCTGTGTGCGCTGGCATAGTTGGAGATTCTGACTCGGTTGTCTTCTGCTGGGCCGCTCCCCGCCATGAGAACAAACCCTTGTAGGGACCATGCAGAGAGAACTTGGAGGGATGGTTTGCTGCAACATGGTTGATGCGTCCTGGGTTTGCACTTGTCCTCCTCCTCCACCTCCCCCCTCTTCCTCCTCCTCCTCCTCTTCCTCCTCCTCCTCCTCCTCCTCCCATCCTTCTCTCATGCCCCTTTTTCCCCTCTTCTTCCTCCCCTTTCCCCTCCTCCCCCTCCTGCTCCTCATCGTCGTCCTCCTTATCCTCCTCCTCCTCATCCCTCTCCTCCTCCCCTCCGCTCCTCCCCGCTATCCCCCTCCTCCCCCTCCTCCAACTCCCCATCCTACTCGTCGTCCTCCTCCTCATCCTCAGTTCCTCCTCTTTCTCTTCGTTCGGTTCGTCCATTCTCTCTTACTCCTCATGTTCACCCTCGTCCCTCAGCTGGAGCCTTTCAGTGAACGTGCCCTGGAACTTGTACTTCTCGAAGACATGACCTCCAACGGCGCTGCAATACTCCAACATGCGTATGTGCTCGACGACTTCCGCGTTCGTGGTGGCGTTTCCGAAAGTGAACGCGGGCTTGAACAACTTCTCATCGCTGTCCCAATCCGGCTGCCTGATGTGCTGTATGAGCGTGGGCGCCACCTCTATCTCCTGCCCACTCTCCAAGAGGATTGTCGTTTTACCAGTCGTTGAATATTTCCATGCCCCGACCACCTGGCAATTTTTTTCCACCTTGACTTCGCCGTCAGAGTAGTAGTAGGCTTCGGTTCGAAAATTCTTCAACATCGGATCGACATAAAACATCTGCACAGTGAATATGGCAGTGAATTGCTCCCGAACCGCATCGATCGATGACACTTCCAACACATTGATTCTCATGTTGACCTTGATAGCACGGCGCGTGCCGATCCGGATCTTGTTTCCGCAACAATACTGGTTCACCCCTTCTGGCTTCGGCAGGACTTCCGCGGCCAGCGGGTTTATCGGGCTGTGGGGAAATCTTTTCTGCTGCATGGTGACCTCATACCGCATCTCCTCCTCCACCACATCCAAAACGTCATTCGATCCGCGCGAATGGCGACGTTGTCGCCAGCTTTGTCCAGTGGGCCGGCTATCAAATGATAGTCCACTCTGCACCGATGACTGGCGATCGAACAACTTGTTACTAAAACGGCGCACAATTCGTCTCGGAGAGGCATCGCTCCCCACACGACTATGTCTGGCCGAAACGTCCGACTGATAACTGTCACAGTACGATAAAGCGGGCGACGCTGGCTGCTCCGTGGGGTCTGCGTGCTTGTTGCCCGGAGGCTCGCCCATGCCCAGAGGAGTACGACCAGCCACGACATCCTCCTCCTCATCCCCCTCCTCCTCCAACCCCTCCCACTCCTCCACTTCCTCCACCCTCCTCCTCCACCTCCTCCTCCCTCTTTCCTGCTCCTGCTCCCGCTTTGGGGGACGCGCCAACCCACTGTCAGCGCAAACTCGGGGTCAGCCAGGGCCTTGTTGCGAAGCCAGGCGGAGGGCAGGCAAAAGGACTCACCCCACGTGGCTCCCCCCAAAGCCCGGGCCAACTGGCGGGGATTGACTGGCCCCCACTGGCGCCGACTCCCTTCGCGTGAACCCCGACGCACCCCCCCACCTCCGCACTCCCGGCGCCGCGACTTCCTCACACGGCGCGGCCGCGTTCGAGGAGGAGGAGGAGGAGGAAGAGGAGGAGCAGGAGGAGGAGGAGAAGGAATATGATGATGAGGAGGATGAGGAGGGGAAGGAGGGTGAAGAGAAGGAGGAGGAGGAGGAGGAGAAGGGGGGTGGACTGATGATGATGATGCTGATGATGTTGATTATGATGATGCTGATGATGCTGATCATACTTATGATGATGCTAATGATGCATGCTGATGCTGCTGATGAACATGCAGATGATGATTCTACTGATGATATTGATGATGATGGTACTGAGGATTATGCTGATGATGATGCTGCTGCTGATGATGATGTTGCTGCCGATAATGATGATGCTGATGACGATGACGATGACGATGATGATGATGCTGATGATGATGATGCTGCTGATGCTGTTGATGAGGATGATGATGATGCCGATGGTCAGGATGATAATGACGCGGATGATGATGATGCTGCTGCCGATGCGGATGCTGCTGTTGATGATGATGCTGCTGATTATGTTGATGATGCGGGTGCTGATGATGCTGATGCTGATGACGATGATGATGATGCGGTTGATGATGACGATGTTGATGCTGATGACGATGACGATGACGATGACGATGATGATGATGATGATGATGATGATGATGATGATGCTGATGCTGATGCTGATGCTGATGCTGATACTGCTGATGATGATAATGATGCTGCTGCTGATGATGACGACGATACTGATGATGCTGTTGCTGATGATGATGTTGTTGTTGTTGATGATGATGATGATGATGATGATGATGATGATGATGATGATGATGATGATGACGGTGATGACGATGCTGATGATGATGATGATGATGAGGAGAAGGAGGCGGAGGAGGGGAATGAAGAGGAGGAATCAGAGGAGGATGCGGAGGCGGAGGAGGGGGAGGGGGAGGAGGGACAAGGGGATGACGAGGCAGGAGGAGCAGGAGGACGATGGGGAGGAGGAGGAAGAGGACGATGAGGAGGAAGAGGAGGAGGAGGAGGAGGAGGAGGAGGAGGAGGAGGAGGAGGAGGAGGAGGAGGGGGAGGAGGAGTGGGGCTTCTCGACAACCTCTGTGGTAAAGAACCTGCGAATTGACTTCTCCCTGGGAAGGTCCTGCAGGAACACCATCCAGCAAACCAGAGTGAAGAAGCTCCGCAGGAAAGCTCATATGTTTCGTGGTCTCCGACCGTTCGTTGCCAAATTGACCAGGACTGCCCGTGCAAGAGCCAACCCTGCAAGACTGTTCGGGGCCTCGGTCGTGGGCGTGTCGGACCGTGTCCTGAAGCAGCTGTGCTCCTCGGTGGGGGAGTCCATCTTCGGGTAGGCCAAGGGTAATATTCGGACCATCGGCTTCATGCTCTCGCCCACGCCACTCACTGACCCGTCGTACGCTGCCAACTCCGCCCCTCTCGCATCCTGGGCGGCAGCTGTTAGGCACAAGTGGCCCCCCCCTGCGAGTGACATGGCCCTCGACAAGCTTTGTAAGGATGGGGGGCCGTCCTGGCAGCAAGTTAATGGGCCCACAATGGCCACGCTGGCTACGCTCCGCAGGCTTGGCTGGACCCCGCTCCGCTGGGACTGTTGGGAGACTGCTGCTGGGCTTTCCCTGGACTTGAGCGAGTACGGGTCCAGGACGGTCAAGGCCTTGGTGGACGCAAGGGCCAAGGATGCTCTGCTGCGTGACCTGAGCCTCCAAGATGAAGCAAGAGGTGCTGGTGATGACCCCCTGTGCCCGTGCCTTGGGCCGCTCCACGAGGTGTGCCAAGATTTCCGCGCTTCGGGTGAGGCCCTGGAGGCCTCTCTCCTCGATGCAAACGTCCCGATCAGAGCATGCGTTGGAGGAACTGGCTCATCGTCAAAAGTTGCCTGGAAAGAGCCATGGTTGCCGCCGTACTCAAAGACGCCTTCCAGCTCCTCGGGCGACAGAACAGCAGGCGACGGCGCCAGGGGGAAGTGCCCTCTAGGAGCGACCTCCTGCACAATTCCCATGGGCGCGCCGTGCTGTAGCCAGGCCCCCACGTGCGTGTCCGTGTCATGGGACTGCCTGAGCACGGCTTGCACAATGCGGTGGCGGAGAGGGGACGACGGATGGTGCTCGCCCACGGCTCGCCGGTCGAGGCCAAGCGCGGCGCCGACGGCCCGACGCGCAAGGTCAACGGCCGCCTCTGACGGCGGTGCCCGTGCCCGGCGTTCCCCGCACGCCCCTGCAAGGCCCCGGAGCTCCCGGAGCCCCGCGCGCACTGGGAGTAGGGCGGCTCTCACCCTTGCCATTGTCTGGCGCAGCTCCGGCCACTGAGACACCACTTGTGCGGGGTTGCGCAACCCTGCCGTGCAGACCCTGTCCTCTGCGGACCTCCGCTCCCGGGCACTGGGATCCGCCGTGCCGCGGAGAGGGTGCGGCAACACCCTTGCCCGGTCGTGCGGATCCTGGTCTGGCTGTCTTGGCAGCAGTCGCGCGGCCGGCGCAGGGGGGGCCGCTGCGTGATCCTCCGACGGCTGCGCCGCCCGGGCGTGCGATGCGCGGCCCGGGCATGATGCGCCAGCTGGCTCGATGGCCCGGGCCGCTGGATGGCACGCCAGCGCCGGAGGCGGGGATGGCGACGCGGGTGCTGCCCGATTCGGTGCCGCGCTGCCTCCAGAAAGGCTCCTGGAAATCTCCAGCGCGGGAGGTTCCTGGGCAGCCCGCTGATCTTCACGGGGATGTCCTGGTAGGGGTACTGCCGTGTCCCGGCAGAGCCGGGGCGGCTCGCCGCACCCCGCGCCTGCGCGATGCGCCGTCACGGGGGGCTCTTCGGCGGCTCACCGCCGCCCCCGGCCGCCCCTGCCAGCACCCCGGCCCCCGCCCTTCTCAGGGGGCTTCCAATCGGTCGGGCGCTTCGGGCAGGACGAGTCGACGGCCCGGTGCGGCCCCGAGCACCACTCGCAAAGATGGCCGCGGCGCTGCGGGCACGCCCCCGCGGCGCACCCATTGCGATCGCGGTTCCAGGCGAAGCACAGCTCCACGCCGTCATCGTCGATGACGTGGCGGCCGTCGGGCCGGGTGCCCTTCTCCTTGAAGTTCTGGAAGCGGGTCACCTGCGCTTCCACCCGCCTCTGCTTGCGGGAGCGGTCGGGCTCCTCCTGCGCCGGCCTGGGGCGGCCCCTGCCAGCCGGGAAATCCCCCGCGGCGTCCCCTCGACCGAGCCGGCGCCGAGCCCGATATGCTCGAGGCCCGTCGTGCCCTCGACGTCGGCGACCCGGCCCGCAGCTGCCTTGACTGTGCTGCTCTGGAGACACGGGAGGTCGAGGTGGCGGTGCCGTACGCACTGTGTGCCAGGACAGCTTCCCATGGCCTGTTGGGGTCCCAGCGCTGCTTCAGGGTCCCCGCGGAGACGCATCGCTCGATGAGGACCCGCACGCGTTCCCAGCGCTCTGACCGCATGTGGTCCTCAACCACGCAGATCAGCCCACACTTGTCCGGGAACGAGGCCGAGACGGTCCGCGCGCCCTCTTCGTAGGCATCGAGCGGGCCGGTCACGCTGAGGCCGAGCTTCAGGGCAGCCGTGCGGAAGACCCTCCAGCCGCGGCGCCATCCCGCGAAGTTTGGCGGGCCCTGCACGACCTTGGTCACCCAGTCGCCAGCGACGAAGACGTGGGCGCGGAAGCTGAGGAACCTGGCGGTCCGCTTCCCGAACGGGCCCCAGATGCCAAAGTCGGTGTAGGGGGCCTCGTCCTGCGCCAGCAAGAAAGCCAAAGCAGAGATCTGCTCCGGTGACGTGTCTTCGTAGTCTGCCGTGGGGCCGCCGTTGGTGGCCTCGAACGTCTCGTCGATCTCCTTGAGCTTGGCCTTATCAAGCATGCGGTACTCCCGCCGGTCCCCCTGTATGATCACGGTGCTGAACTCCCGGCCGCGGACCCCCGCCGCCGCTGGCGGTTCCTCCCTTGCCGGTGCCGGGCGCTGCGGCGTGGAGATGCCCAGCTGCGGAAGGTCGAAGCCACCCAATGCCCCGAGCTCACCCAGCTGCCGCGCAAAGCGGCCGCGCTCAATCCCCGTGAGCGGTTGGCCGCCTGACCCCGTCGTGGCTGCCAAGGCGGTCTTCAGGTCGGCCTCGGGGACGGAAAACAGGTCTGCCAAAGTGGTGTCCTCACCACCTCCCAGCCGCGTGACCAGGTCGCGGGAGGCGTCCGCGTTGAAGCCCAACGTCTGCACCGCCACGGCAACGTACACGCCTCCGTACGTGACGCCTGGGGCCGCCGCCCTGGGCTGGGCTGGGGAGCCCCCGGAGGCCTCGCCAGGAACAGCGCCAGATGCTGGTGCGGGAGCGGCGGGGGCGCCCCCCCCCGCCGGCCCCGGCGGCGGAATAGGCCCCGTGGGCGGCGCGGCCGCCCTCGCCTGTGCAAGGGAACCCTCAGAACCGCCGAGGTTGAGGCCAACTGCCAGGCGGGCCGGAGGCAGCAGTGGATCCGCCATTCCCCCCGCGGTAGGTGTGAACTGAGCCTGGCAAAGAACGAAAGTACAAGAACCCCCCCTGAATCAGAGCGGGCGCGACTGGGCCCAAAATGGCCACGACAAGTGCGCGCCTCGCTGCGCACCCACGCCGCCCGCTCTCATTGCACCCCCGTTCACAAGTGAACTATGCTGCTGTGGCGTCGGGAGGAATGGCGAGCCAGGTGGACTTACCTGGATCGCCAATCGATCTCGTCGAAGTGCAAGTTGTGCGGGCACCCGTGGGGCACTGAGCAGCACAGCTGTTATAGTTGCCCACCGTCTCTTGGGTTTAAGCAATTAATGGGGTTCGACCGCTTGATTCGAGCGGGAGCCCGTGCTGTCTCTGCTAAGTGGCGCCTCTTTTACACTAGGGGTCTCATGGGCTCTCCCATTAGGTTTTCCCCTGGGCCTCTTGTGCAGCAGCCTTGGAGGTGGCACGTTTTCCCGAGGTCTGGCCAACTCGTCGACGTGATCTGCTTGGATCGCTCCGCTCTCGACCCCACCTGTCCGTGGTGCTCTCGAGCTGGATGGCCCGCGGTCTCGGTGTGTCCGACTAGCCAGATCCTGCGTAATATGTATGGCCCCCTTCCGCACCCCCTGCAGTCCAACCTCGGGGGGGAGTTGTGGGCGCTGTAAATGGCTCGGCTCAATGCGGATGCGGGGCCCCTGGACTTGTGGACATATTGTAAAATCTTGCTGGACGTCTGGGGCCTTGGCCCAGGCCAAGATGTGCCTCGGTTGGCGTTTGCAGAGGTCTGGGAAACGGTCTTGGCTGAAGCTCGAGGCATAGGTTGGAGCCTGAGCCAGCTGAAGAAGATCAAGTCTGACCTGTTCTGGAGCCGGGCCCATGCCCAGGGCTTCCCCCTCTGCGCCTTGAGGGGCAGCACGGAGGGCGACCGCTGGGCGAAGGAAGGGGCCCAGCTGCAGGCGCAGCCCGACGGGCTCCGCGGTAGGCACGGTGCTGTGAACGACGGCATCAGTGAAGGGGCCCTGGGACACACAAGTAAATACACACAAATAACAGGATTCCACATGTTTTTCCCATACTTTCTGGGTTATTGTCTTCCCCCCACTTCCCACATTTCCCAATCTTTTCTGGGGAATCGACGATTAATGATGTCTGTGTGTTTTTTCATTCCTGAATCAGGCAGGTAGGAACTTTTCTCGGATGGATGTCGGGAGAGCTGTCTCGTGGGGGTCTCAAGGACGCTGAGCGCTGAAAAGGCACAGCCAATACCTCGAGGCCCCACGGAGATGCCCCTCCGCTCGAATGGGTTGCCGGCTCTAACGGGTACACGATCTGTAGGGATGGTAAGAACTTTATTTGTTCTTGCTGTGGAGGCAAAGCCAGATCCAGAGGAGCTCTGGCGGCCTTCCCGTGCCCTGGCATCCCCGTGATCGCCGATTCTGCGCACCCGTCACATGCTCTCTGGATGGGCTCGGGACCGTCTGGGACTGTGGTGCGGTGTCGGAGATGCGCGGCGTTCGGGGTTGTGCGCTCCCGCTACCTGAAGGCCAGGTGCAACGAGCACCCTCGAAATTCGGGGGCTGAGAAGTCCCTTGCCCTGCTCCTCGCGGGCAAGGGCCCCAACTCGAGGGCGGTGTTCGGTCGCAACATTCAAGTCACGCGAAGGAGGTAAGCCTCTCTCTGTTTTTTTTGTTGCCTCAGGTCTTGCACTGCGGGATCCGTGTTTTTGGTCAAACTGGTCGAACAGGAAGAGGAGGGGGGGGAGGAGAAGGAGGAGGAGGAGGCGGAGGAGGCGAAGAAGGATTGTACAAACGATGAGGAGCATGAGGATAATCAGGAGGAGGAGGAGGAGCAGGATGAGGAATAGGATGCGGGGGAAAACGAAGGAGGATACGGATGCGGAAGAGAAGGAGGATGAACACGAGGACGCCGACGAAACAGATGATGAGGAAGGGGCGGAATAATGAGAGGGGGATGACGAGGGGGATGCTGATGATGCTGATGCAGATGCTGCTGATGACGATGATGCTGATGCTGATGCTGATGTTGCTGATGATGCTGCTGCTTCTGATGATGATGCTGCTGCTGATGATGCTGCTGATGATACTGGTGATGATGATGCTGCTGACGATGATGGTGGTGCTGCTGATGCGGATGATGTCGTTGCTGATGATACTGATGCTGCTTATGCTGATACTGCTGATGATTCTGATGATGATGGGGATGCTGATGATGCCGATGCTGATGATGATGCCGATGATGATTACGATGAGGCTGCTGACGACGATGACGATGCTGCTGCTGATGATGAGGATGAGGAGGAGGCAGAGGAGGAAGAGGAGGAGGAGGAGGATACGGAGGATGATGATGAGGAGGATGAGGAATCGGAGGAGGCCGATGTTGGGGAGGTTGATGCGGATGATGATGCTGCTGATGATGATGATCAGGAGTGATCATGAGGATGAGGAGGAGACGGGCGAGGAGGAGGAGGAGGTGGGGAGGGAGGAAGAAGAGGAGGAGGAAACGGAGGAGAAGGATGATGAGGAAGAGGAGGAGGAGGAAGAGGAGGAAACGGGGGAGGAGGAAGCAGGAGGAGCACGAGGATGCTGCTGATGATGATGATGAAGATGATGATGATGCTGATGATGATGGTGATGATTATGAGGATGATGCTGATGCTGATGATGATGCTGATGCTGATGAGGAGGGGGAAAAAGAGGAACAGGAGGAGGGGGCAGGAGAAGAGGAGGGAGAGTAGGATGAGAACTATACGGGCGAGGCGGAGGCGGAGGATGAGCAGGAGGAGCAGGCGGAGAAGGAGGAGGATCAGGAGGAGGACCAGGATGAGGATGATGCGGGTGAAAGAGGGGCAGACGGAGGAGGAAGGGAACGACTACCATCAGGAAGAGGACGGCGAGGATGATCATGAGGAGACTGACGAAGCTTGGGGGATGAAGAGGGGGATGCTGATGATGCTGCTGACGATGATGGTGGCGATGAGGACGATGAGCTGCTGATGCGGATGATGATGCTGCGACTGATGATGATGCTGGTGCTGATGCTGATGAAGCTGATGCCGATGATGCTGCGGGTGCTGGTGCTGAGTATGCTGATGTTGATGCTAATGCTGGTGTTGCTGGTTATGATGAGGATGCTGATGGCGATAGTGATGCTGAGGATGATGTTGCTGCTGCCGATGATGATGGTGCTGCTGCTGATGATGGTGCGGATTCTGCTCGTGATTGTTGCGATGATGATAACGGGGGGAAGTACGAGGATGAAGGTGCTGAGGGTGATTATGATGATGTTGCTGCTGGTGATGATGATGATGTTGATGGCGAGAATGATGCGGCTGAGGCTGATGATGAACAGGCTGATGGTCTATGTTGTTCATGTCGAGGTCGATGTCAATCCTGCTGCTGGTGATGCTGATAATGGTGGTGATGATTATGCGGATGATGCTGATGATGATGATGCTGGCGACGAGGATGCTGATGATTAGGAAGAGGAGAGAGAGGGAGGATCAGGAGGATGATGAGGAGTCGGACGAGGAGATGAGAAGGAGGTGGTGGTGGAGGAAGAGGATGAATAAGAGGATTGAGAGGTGGATGAGGGGAAGGAGGAGAAGGAGAAGGAGGAGAAAGAGAAGGAGGAGGAGGAGAAGGAGGAGGAGGAAGAAGAGGAGGAGAAGCAGGAGGAGGAGCAAGAGGAGGAGCAGAAGGAGGAGCAGGAGGAGCCAGAGGGGCGAGAGGAACAGGAAGAGGAAGAGGAGGAGGAACGCAACGCCTCAGGAAGGTCTCCCGCCGCGCGCGCGGGCGCGCGACGGACAACCCCCTGGCGCCGCCTACTCGCGGCGCGGTGCCGCAAGAGCAGGAGGCAATATGTGGTAGGAGAGCAGCCGGAAGAAGCCGCCCTCAAGGCCGTGGGCGCAGGCCAACTTGCCGCCGATGAAGAAAGCGTCGCCGCCGAAGAAGACGCCGTGCCATCGGCCGAACACGGAGCGGCAACGAATCGCGACATGGTCGGTCATCGCGCCGCGTGGCTGTAAGAAGAGCCACCATGCGGGAGCGGCGCTGCTGGGGTACGTTGGGCGCGAGGCGCCAGGCCCCAACTCGACGCGCCTGATCGCATCTTGCTGGTTGCGGTGCGTAGACGCGTTGGGCGAGAGCCCATCGCACCTCGAGCCAAGCTTCTGCGCTGTGCGGACATCACCCGCAGCGCAGTGAGACCCGCAGCGTCTGCAACAATAAACATTGTTGCCCCTGAACGCGTCGCGCCCACGCGCGGCGAAGGCGCCCCCGACCTCTTCGGCCAGGGCAGGTGGCAACAAGGCTGCGGGGGCCGAGGGCTGTGAGCTCCCTTCGGGCGCCCAGGCCACGCCCGGGGCCATGCTAGCCCTCTGGTCGCTGCAGAGAACCCAGCCCTCGCCGAAGGCGCGGAAGTACTCGGCGTTGAGAGCACTGGCAACCCGCGAAGGGCGACATGCACGATGAGAGCCAGTTTGCAGCGACTCGAGGGGGGGGCCCGCTTGGGCCGTGACTCCGCATTGGGTACATCGGTGCCGCCCGAGGCTGGCGCAGTAAGCAAGGACGTGGTCCGTGCTGCGTGCCGCCACGATGGGCCTAGCCTGCTCGCAAGTTGGCCTGGGGACCTCCGCATCGCATCCCCAAACCACCACCTGCAGTGCCGCCCATGAAGTGAACTGCAGACCTTGCGGTGCTGTTTCGGCGCCGCTGTTACTGCCTCGGCTACCGACCCAGCCACTGCGTGAGAGGCCGCCCCACAGCGCGCGAAATAGTCTGCCCAGCCATTGCCTAGCCAGTCACGCAGCTCCTGTGGCTCTGTGCCCACGATCTCCTCCACGGACCCGTGCGCTGGCGTCCATCGGAACTTGGGAGGGTCCCGCAGAGCGCGCCTGCGGCTGGCCACGAAGATGTCCCGCCACGCTCTAGCATGCCTGGCACGACCCTGCTCGAGCTCGGGGCACCAACGTTTTCCTTCCTGGGCGAGCGCCAGCAGGTCAGTGACGAAGCACTGGTGGTCAGGGAAAGCGTCGAGCCCCTCCCTGATCGCGTACCTCTCAGCACGGCCGGCAGTCTTTGCCAAGTACGGAAGGGGCCCGAGCCGCGCCCTAACTGGGAGCCATGAGTAAGGATCAAGCTGCACAGCTGCTTGTCCGCACCTCCGCGCCTCGGGAACACCTGAGTCGTAACCAGACCCGTCGGTGTAAGAAACAGGGCCCCAAACGCCATGGGCGTCGCCCCAAAGGCAGACCCCATGCCTCCGCGTATTTGCGTGTGGTAGAAGGGCAGGGGGCTCGGGTATGCCAAACACGAGGTAGGACTGCTCGAAGTTCGGCGTGCCTGATCCAAGACGCGCATGGATAAGTTGGTCGCGCACCTCAGCCAGCACTTGAGGGAGGTGGAAGATACCGCGGCCGTTCGGCGTCGGTATCGCTGTTTCGGGCCCACCATGCCCGCGTGGTGCATCAGGCGCCAAGGCTGAAGCCGCCGCCGCAGGGGACAACGGGTCTCTCTGTTCGGAAGTAACCGTGGCGCACAGAGGACACTCTGCGCGTCCAGCCGCGCCATCACCAGATGGCCGTCGTACCCATCGGGTGGCACAAAGACGACCTCTTCATCAACCCCTCGCCCGATGCCTGGGAAGAAAACATCCTCGGCCTCCATGGTGCTGGGCTGCTGGGCGCCGGTGTGGGGCGGCAGGGTCGGATCGGCCCGACTCTCGAGGTGGTCGTGGACCTGCTGGCGTAGGTCGCCGAAACCACGTGTGTTCTGTGCTTGTCGCAAGCCTTGGACATGGTCCGTCGGCTCCTCCTCCATGGATCGTGTCTCCCCTGCGGGGGGGGGGGTCAGCAGCGCGGGGCATTCCATGAAGACGTGGCCCCAACATTCGTCGGGCGCAAGGGCCTTCCCGCAAGCCTGACAAGGGCGCATGGGCCTGCCGAGCTTCGTGTCCCTGCGAATTGGCATGGGTATGTTGTCAGACCATAGCGCCTGTAAGGATCCCAGCTGCCTTGCGGCGCGGACACCCTTGACCGCAAACCTGAGCCCACGGGGCCAGATGGGCGCGCCAGCGTGGGAGTACATGTGGCTGGTGAGGCGGTCATGCTGCCAGCGCTGCACGCCTTGCACCAAGAACGGTCGTGGGTCAGCAGGGCAAACGCGGTGCAAGTCATACTGGTTGCCCAGGTCGTCCTGCGAAACGTGCGGCGCTTTCATGTCCCAGGCTCGCCGCCTGAGCGTCAACCGCGTCGCGGCCAGGGGACCTTTGGCATTGGCCCAACTGACAAGGGCAACCCGCTCATGGAGCGCTGTCCAAGCCCTTTGCAGACGGCTAGGTGACGTGCGCCCATCCCAAATCCAGGCGGCGTAGTTCAAGACCAGGTCCAGCGTGGCATGACAGATGGGGTCGTGCCTCTCCGAAGGGTGAGTAAGGAGGTGTGCCGTGACGCCCACGTGGTGTTTGTCACTGCGCCCGTTTAGCACCGCGGCCAAGTTGCGCATCTCGCGCAGGGGCGCATCCGCCAACCCCGACGCTCCAGCGCCGTGCCCTGCGGACGGCATGGGCCCAGTCCGCCACAGGGTGGAGGCCTTGCGCCCTGCCGCGCGACGCAGCATGAAGAGTCGGTGCTTGCGCTCCCGCACGGCTTTCAGGCGCTTCTTCTCAACCTTCCTCAGCACTCGAGGGCCATGCAGCTCATGGCCAAAGTTGCGCATCTGTCGGGCTTGGGGCACCGCCCGAGGCATCCGCCGCTGGACCCCATGCGCCACAAGGCGGACCGGCGCTGACCCAGCCACCACCGCGGACTTAGCAGGTTGGAGAATGAGCCCGAGGTCCCTGGCCTCTGCAGTGAGCACCATCGCAATGCTCAGCAGCAGCTTGGCATCACCGAGGCCGGGGGTGACCATTTGCAGGCCGATGTCGTCCACCAACGAACGTGGCTTGATGGTCGGCGCAACCCTGCTGGCCCGCTGGAGGACACGGTCCGTCAGCAGGTAGATGGGGTTGGTGGCATGTGTGCACCCCGCCAGCACCCCCTGAAAGGCGACGAAGGAGCTCGAGAGGCTGCCGTACGCCTTGATGCGCCGTGGCTGCTGGTAGAGCTGCAACAACACCCAGAGCAGGCGCATTGGGTGGCCCAGCTCCCGTGCCTCCCGCATGAGCGCATGGGGACTCACCATGTCGAAGCATTTCACCATGTCAAGGAGGATGGTCCAAGTGTGGTCGCCTATGAGGCTTCCCACCTCTTGCTCCAAATTGTGAACGAAAGCCGAGGCCGTGGAGGCGCGGCTGCCTCGAGTACCCCACATCTCGTTGCGAGTATGCAGTCGTTGCCACTCTGCCGACAGCCATCGGCGTGCTTTCGCCCAAACTCGAATGAGAGTACGGCTAAGCACAGTCAGCCTGTGGCCACCATCTGGCTTAGGGGGGCGGGCCATCTCACTATGCAGGCGGCCCGGGGGAAACAGTGAGTGCTGCTCAGACACCTCGAACATCTGTGCCAACCTCCTGAGAGCCTCATCTGATAAGTGCTCGAGCGCCTTTGGTGGAATGCAGGTGGGCCCCGAGGCAGTGACGAGAGAGAACGATCGGATGGCCATGGGCCGTCAGGCTAGGCAGCTCCCCCCATGCAAGTGCATCCGTGGGTAGAGGCAGCTCTTCCAGCCCATGGGTCGCCCAGATCCGTTTCCACCCGTCCATTGTGCGGTCCGCGAGGATGTGTGGCTGGGCGTCGGCCTCAGGTGCAACGAGCTCTTGCTGCGCCCTGACCTTGGATGCAGCATGGGCAGCCTTCGATCCCCCATTGAAGGCCGCCTGAGCCCAGCTGCGCCAGGCTCTCTCCGACGCGCCGCGAGCCGCAGCAGTGAGGTCCTCCGCGCGGCCCACGGTGGCATCTACCATGTCATCAAAATCCTCCGCAATCGGCCCGTCCAGCCCGCGCAGGAAGGACTGGCTGTAGCAGGGGTCGATGTTGGCGAGGACTTTGTCCTGCCCAGCAATGGAGCTCAGGAAGCAGAGGTTGCCGTCGAAGACACTAGCCGTCTTCTGCAGCTGCCTGGGATGTGGAGACGCATGCGCCGCCACCGCATTCAACCGGTGACAAAAACGCTGGGCCCGATCACGCTCAGCACGAAGGTGAGTCGCCCAGCGTGCCGCAGTAGCCCAAGCCCAGACTGTGGTGTCGTGGTACAGCCGCTTGCGAGGTGGATCCCACCGCAACTGCCGCCACTTCACCTTGGGGGGGCCGTGGTGCCCGACGAAGCGGTTGGCTCCAGGGCCAACTTTGTCGTGCCTGCCTGCGATCTCGTAGTCAAAACCCTGCAGAACGGAATCCCAGAGCTGCTGCAAGACCTCATCGGGTGTACCTGCCTCGCCGACGGCCTGTCCATGGGCCCAGGTCCGACGGCGATGACGCTGGCCCGCGCGCCCCGATCGATCGCGCTTAGTTTTGCCTAATGGACCTAAATGACCGACGGACCTGCATCGGTTCCGATCGGGCCTGGACATGGTCCGTGCCAGCAACCCTAAGCGGCGCGGTGGCTGCTCGCACAAATAGGCAATCCAAGGTATACCAAGGAAAAAGGGAAACGAGCACAGCCAACAGGGGGTACAGCAGGCAGTGGTCGAGGCTCATCGGGGACGCGGCACCGCGTCGGCGTGACCTTCCCGTGCAGCTCCAGACCCACGGGGTAGTGAGGCCTGGGAATGCTCCCACATCTTTAAATCACCACGGGCTGGCGAGAAACTCGGGGCGCGAGATTGCTGGCCACCAAGAAGTAGTCGATGGTGGACGCTCCATTGGAGGTGACGCAAGTAGAGGCCGACGGCTGGAGGAGAGTGCCTGCCAAGGAACCAACCCAGTCGCCAATGTTGATGCTCTGGCCGTCGGCGTTCCAGCCACCCCCGATGTTCCAGTCGAGGCCGCGTGCGTTCCACGCGGCCCCCCGCTGCGCCAGCGCCCGAAGGATCGGGGGGTTGGCCTCGGTGACGCCGATGCCCTGAACCATGTGCACGCTGACGACAATCAGACCGCCAGGGACACCCCAGTGAACATGAGCTGCCACAGCATGATGTGGAAAGACGACATGATCCCCATCGGGGGGCCACTGGCAGGAGACCCACTGCGCTCTTCGTCAAGTGGAGGCGGGCCCATGCAGCCAGGACCTGACCTAGCACCACCGTCTGCCTCCAGGCTGTCTGGTTGGGCCCGGGCGGCGGCCTCAGCGGCGGTCCTGGAGGCTCTGGTGGCGGCCCCGGAAGCCGTCGAGAGGGCCGCGCCGCCCGCGCAGCAATTGGCAGAGTCCCGGCCGAACTCGGCCAGCCCTCGCTCGAGCGGGGGTGCCCCGCGCGAGCTGGCCGCCCCCTGGCTGGGGGCGTCGGCGGCGGGCCCGGCGGCGCCCTGGGCGGCGTCGGCGCCCCCCTCGGCGGCCCTGGCGGGGCCCTGGGCGACCTCGCTTTGCCTCTGGGACTGCCCTGGGGGGCCCGAAAACCTTCGTGAAATGCCAAGCGCTTCGCGTGCGAAGCGTTTGGCATTTCACTCGGGTTTTTGCAAGTCCGCGCGGCGCGGCTGGCAGCTTCGGCGGGGGGGCTGGGCTCGGCCCCGGAGGCGCTCCGGGCGGCCCCGGAGGAGCTCTTGGCGGCCGCGGGGGCTGCCCCGGGGGGGGGGGGCCGTGGGGCGGGGCCAGGGCCCGCGGGGGCAGCCCCAGCGGTTTGTCCCTACTCATCGCGCTTGGCCTCGGCCCGAGCCGATTGCGGCGGGGGCCCCCGATTCTCATCTGGTCGCCGCCTCAGCTTGGCCACGATCGGCGCGATCAGCGGCCTAGCAGCAGCGTGTGCATAGTACGTGCTGCCCTGTGGGCACCCCACTCTAACTCTGACATTCCGTGCATGGTACTTCCTGCCAGGAAGGCCCCAACTGGCAACCTGCACATGGTGCGTGCTGCCAGTGCACGGGGGGCCATGGCTGACATTCCGTCCATAGGACTTCCTGTCAGTTTGATGGCCGCACAGCCCGTCACAACATGCTGACTCATAACACTCACATCGAATGGTCTGTGCATGGCGCGTGCCATTTGTGTAGTCGCGCTGGCGAGCGCTGCCCTCAGAATGGGGCTGATCGAGCCTTCTTCTTCCTCTTGTGCGCCGTAGCCGCATGCGTGAAGGAGTCGAGGACGCGCTTGTGCGTCACCCGCATGTCCGCGTCGGTGGCGTCATCGGGCTGAGTGAAGCCTGCCGCCTCCAGCGCCTCCCGCAGCTCGGCGGACTCCATGATGTCGATGTCGATTTCCATGTCGTCCCTGGCAGCTTCCTCAGCGAGGGCCTGCACCTGGCCCGCGAGGAGAACGGCGGTGGAAGCAACCCCTCCTCCTTCTCCAGCAGGAATCGCGGGGGCAGGGGCAGCGGAAGGCACCTGTGCCGCCGGCGGCTTCGCCCGGGGAAGCTCATGGAGCCTCCCGAAGACTTCGGCCGCCGTCTCCAGCTCCGCCTGAAGGCTGGGGTCCAAGCCGAGCTCCACGGCCAGCTCGCCAAGCTGCTGGGCGTTGACAGCACACTTCGGCAGCAGCTCATGGAGCGTGGGCTTGCCATCAGTGGGCGGAGGGGCTCGGTCGGCGCCCAAGCGCTGGACCTCCTCCTCCTCCTCCAGCCGCGCGACTTCGGCATCTGCCTCGGCCGTGGGATCCTGGAGCACCGTCTGCTTGGCCACCAGTTCGTCGATGACCAGCTGCTTCTTAGTGTGCTCCTCGCGACGGCGTTTGGCCTTGGCACGGGGGTTCCGCAGCCTCGTGGTGAGGGAGGTGACCTGATCCTCCAAGGGGCGCTCAGCGTCGAGCTCCTTGCCCAAGCGCTCCTTCTCTTCGGTGAGGGACTTGGCCTGCGCCAGGTCAGAGGCCGCAGATGATCCGTCATAGACCTTAAGGAGCCCATGGATCTTCTTGATGCGGTCGCGCTTGGCCTGCTCCTCCGACGGGTCAGCGGTGCCTCCGGTGTCACCGGTGGGAGCGCCATGGGGGTGCCCACTGTCCAATCCGACGCCTGCCCCAGCATTGGAAGCACTCCCCCCGGCAGCAGCCGCCCAGGGAGGAGGCGACTTGGTGACCGTGAGCTTCTTGACCATGGCCTGGAGGTCGGCAAGCTGCTTAGTCATGGGGGCGGTGTCGGACATATCCTTAGATGCCTTAGGTGACCCCTTGGACATGGTCGCAAGGCTCCCCTTGGGCGTTTTGTGACCACCGTAGCAAACTCCTTTATGCAGGTTGGATTTGGAGCACTGCTTGAAGTCGCCAATGCGCCCGGGGGTCAGCAGCGAGGCGGCGCGACATGGCGGCGCCGTGACGGATGCATGGCCAGCCAGGCCGCAGGAAACGCTTAATCCAAGAATCCGGGGGGCGCCACCCAGGAAACCCACAAGCCAGAACTTGGCTCGCAAGAGAAAAATAACCCTTCCCAGTGTTTCTACCCCTGCAGACTCGACTCGGCCCAGAAAGGGCTGGAGGAGGAGGAGAAGGATGGGGGAGAGGGGGGGGGGGGGGCATGCAGGGGAGGAGGAGGAGGAGGAAAATAAGGGAAGAAGAGGAGGCGGAGGAATAGGAGGAAGCGGGGGGGAGGAGGAGGAGTGGGAAGAGGAGGATGCAGAAGAAGAAGAATAAGAAGAGGAGGAGGACCATGAGGAGCAGGAGGAGGAAGAGGAGGAGAAGGAGGAGGAGGTGGAAGAGGATGAGAAGGATGAGGAGGATGAGGGGGATAACCAGGAGGAGCAGAAGGAAGAGCAGGAGGAAGGGAAGGAGGAGGGATGGGGCGGGCGATGATGAGGAGGAGCTGGGCGAGGAGGAGGAGGCTGACGACGGTGATGATGATGTTGATGTTGGTGTTGCTGTTGATGATGAAGATGCTGATGGTGCTAATGATGACGCTGGTGATCATGATGTTGTTGCTGCTGCTAATGATGATGGTGATGGGGATACTGATGATGATGCTGATGATGATGATGATGCTGATTCGGATGATGAGGAGGAGGAAGAGGAGGAGGGCGGGGGAGGAGCTGCTGCTGCTGCTGCTGTCTGCATCGATGTCCATATCCGCTAGCAAAGCTATCTACGCGTGGGCACCGCAGAGCCTGGATTTATACTTTACCAGGGGGCCTTTGGGACTTAACGGGGACGCAAGGCCAGAGACCGCTGCCTTTGCGCGCGCAGCGCAGGCAGTGGCCCCGAGGCGCGGGGGTAGCTCTACGCTGCATTACGGGTTCATTCTCTTAACCTCACTCTAGCACGTAGGGCCTCCAGCCTGTCCTCCCACGGTCTGACGCTGAGGGGTCTGAGATGGGTAAGGTGGGGGGGGGGGGGGGGGGGGGGGTAAGGTGGGGGGGGGGGGGATCCAGCAGGAGGAGGGCGAGGAGGAGAGGGAACTCGCTGGGTCAGACTGCTTGCTGCCTGCTGCTCACGCTGTCTCACCCGCGGGAGCCTGCCTCGTTCCCTACCTCGATGTTGTTCTGGTTCTAGCTGTTGCGCATCGCATAGGCCAGGCCACCCACAGGGGCCTTGCCTGGAGGCTTCGTCAGTCCAGTTGAGCGCAATGCCAGCCGTATGACTCTGTTCGCAGTCACCCAAGTGTAGCCGTCCGCCGTATTGATCTCCTGCGGGTGGTACTTCTTCTCTGCAAGTTCCTGCTCCTGTACGACAGATAACCCCACGGGGCAGTGTCCGTCGAAGTTGAAGGCCAGGCGAGACTGTGGTGCTCCTCCTTGCTTGGTTTGCATCTCGCTCGCCCTGCACGTGACGCACCAATCTTCGAATTCTGCGGGGCTGGAGTTCTCTCTCGCCTTGTCCAGACGCTTCATTGCCAGGAACACGCGCTGCACCTCCTCGTTCTTGCCCTCCATTGTGGTGGTGCCACTGTTGAAAGTAGAGCGGCGGCGGCGTGCAGATGAGGGGATCCACGTTCGTGTCCTGCTCCTGCCTCGCGAACGAGGCTCTCGTACTTGGTTGTGGCCGTCTTCATTCCCAAAAATACAGGGTGGCCCGTCGGGCCTTTGAAGTGAACATCGGATGCTTCTCGCTCTCGCATCTTCGCCTCCAGCTGCAGCGTCAGCTTCCTCTCGTTGCCCTCGACCCCCTTGCCCGCGCCCTTGAGCTTCTTGGGCGGAACCTGGCTCGCCTCGACCCGTGTGGTAGCTCCCAGCCACTTCGACATCAAAGTGTAAGAAGTGCTTCTCGATGCTCGGTCGTATGTGTTCGTTCGCAAGATGAGAGAGAGCGTGATCCACCGCCGCTCTACTGTGGAAAATTGCCAACCTTTTCCTCCGGAGCCCGGGGGTCGCCCCCCCCCCCCCTTCGAAAATCCCCCCCCCCCTGCTGGAACCCCTCCCCCCCCCCTCTCCCCCGGCAAAACCCCCCCCCTCCCCAAACCCCCCCCGCCCCCCCCTCCCGCTCGAAAACCGGGGGGGGTCACTACCGGTTCGAGGCCCCCCCCCCCCCATACTCACCGCCAGCAAACGACTCCCGGTCCCCACCACCGTCCGCATCACATCCCCCACTGGTGTTCCCAGCACCACTGTTCTCACCACCGCTGTCCCCACTGGTTCCACAACCGCCCCTACTGTCCCCACCAGTGGCCCCACCACTGTCGCACTGTCCCCGCTGTCCCCAGAACTGTTCCCACCGCGGTTCCACTCTCCCCACTGTCTCCACGGCCCCAACCACTGCCCGACTATCCCCACTGTCCCCACTGTCCCACTGACTCCTCCGCTGTCCCACTGAGCTGTTCCACTGTTCCCACCACTGTCCCCACTGTCCCCACCACTGTCCCCACTGTACCTCTGTCCCATTGTCCCACCGCCGTCCTCGCCATCGCCTTCACCACTGTCCCCACCACCATTGTACCCTCCACTGTCCCACTGTTTCCACCTCATCCCATTGTCCCCACACCACTGTCCCCACCACCACCGTCACCACCACTGTCCACTGTCCCCCCCTGTTCCCACCATTGTCCCCACCACTGTCCCCACCACTACCGTCCCCACCACTGTCCCACTGTCCCACCACTGTCCCGCTATCCCCTCACCACTGTCCCCACCAACACCGTCCCCACCACTGTCCGCACCCCCACTCGGTTTTCGAGGGGGGGAGGGGTTCGAACCGGTAGTGACCCCCCGGTTTTCGAGGGGGTGGGGGGGGTTCGAACCAGTAGTGACCCCCCCCCTTGTCATGATGAACTGGGGGGGGGGGAGGGGTTCGAACCGGTAGTGACCCCCCCCGGTTTTCCGGAGGGGGGGGGGGTCGAACCGGTAGTGACCCCCCCCGGTTTTCCGCCAGCAGCGGTAGAACACGCTCTTTCCAAGATGAGTGTCGAGCGCCTTCGGATCCTGAGCCTCGAAGGTGCGCAACGGACAGGCCGTGACGTGGTGCTCCTGCCTCTTCGGGGCCCTCGCGCTGAAATCCTGGATGCGCCTTCTGTTGGCGATGGCCGCTGCAAGGTGCCGCTGGGCTGTGGCTCGATCTGCAAAATTGCTGTTGCACAGGATACAATAGTTCGACAGTGTGGCTAAATGAGGGATGCGATCCGTGACGCATATTTGACGCAATATTGCTTCAGTGTCCTCACGTCCCCTCGCACAGACTCAGGCACAATGTGAAAACGTGCGCTTCCTCTTCGTGAAGCCTTCCCCACATATGGGACAGAGCACCCCAGGGGATCCTTCCATGCCCTCGGGGGTGGGGGGCTGATAGATCTCAGCCTCTGTGGGGTGCTCTGGGGTGGGCAACCTGACTAGATAATTCACGAGATCTAAGTTCTGACGCATCAATTCTACAAAAAAGGTCCCTGTCCTCCCCATAGAAAAGCATCAAACAACTCCCCTCCAGGATTTCCAAAAGCATCGGCCCCTCAGAGGCCCCCTCGGGAGCCTTGACATCATTCCAAAACTGCTGGAGCCACGCATTCGCTATGGGCAGGAGCCTACCTTCTACATCTACTTCATGATCCTTTTTTTCGCACTGAGCTCGCCCTGCAAGGGCTGCAATCACTTGCTGGTGGGCTCTCTGGTGGGTGACGATCTCCTGGGGCCGCTTGATCCTTCTGATGCGGAGCTCCGTGAATAGCGTCCCGAACTTCAAGTGCCTCTGAACCTCTAGGTTGGAGGGGGCCCGGATCTTGTCCAGCTGCCTCGCGGCATGTTCCCCCCAGAGCACCGCCCTCGCGAACTTGTAGACTATTTGCTGCATCGGTGCGAGCGACTGAACCGTGAGAGGGGAGCGCATGTTGAGAACGAACGCCTCTAGGCCCGACAAGGCCGCGTTGATGGCGAGCCCCGAGAATACTATGCCTTTGAACCTCGTGGAGATCTTGGGGGTGGACCAGAACTTGCCCATCTTGTGCCGTGCTGTTCGTATGGCCTGCATTCTAAACTTCTTCTCCGCCGAGAACCCGTTGTTGAAGTGTTGCCGACCTCCCAGATATCTCGCTTCTGCTACCACCTGTCCTTCCATGTGTTGCTTCCGTTCGTGATCTGCTCTGTTTGCTGCGCCTGCTGTGCGACCTGCCCCTTGAACAAGATGCATCTGTTTTGCAATGTTCTGTGCTCCTCCAACGTCCTTCATAACAGGATCGACGATTCGATTTTCGCATCTTGCTACCTCGGTGAGATGTGAAATATCAGAGCCCACGATCTTGCGGGCGATATCGTCCACGAAAACTGACGTGGCCAAGTCTGTTACTGCACGATCCTGTTCAGCACGAAGTGGGCTTGGCAGCAGCGTATGTAGCGCTCCCTGCCACGGATCTGTGTCCATTATGTTGATCATCATCTGCACGCCTCTGCCGTAGGCCTTGACAAACAGCTTGGTCGCCGTGTGGTCACCAGGCAATGCGCCACTTTGATTCGTCATGTGAATGCTGTGCACGCCGTCATCAATCGCGCATGTGCTTTTGTGTATTCTTTGGTGGAAGAGGTCCACCCGCGACTCCACTGCCAACTCGTCAGCTGCTTCTTCTGCTCGGGATTTGTGAGTGCAATAAAACGCATTGCTCGCGTCGTGGCGCCTCGTGACGTGGTGCGTGCCTTCTCGTCGAAGTCTGGCCGGCCCATTCATCTAAACCAACATGGCACCGCCCCTTCTTATGTGTGATATACCACCAGGTGCCCAGTATGGAGAACGTGCCTTCGGATTCACGAGCGATCTAAAGTAAGACCTGCCAAGCCCGCAGAAAATCATGATGGGCCTCTCGCCTGCCGTGTTCTCCTTGTCGTTGTGCTTGGGCAGTCTGCAGCAATGGGCCTGCTGCCATACCGCCGGCACTCGTCCTGCTTGTCTGGTTGTCCGACAAAGAAGGTATAAGCATCTCTCGAACATGGGTGCCTGTAGCTCATCTTCGTCCTTGTGCTATCTGTCCTGTTGGGTGTGAGCGTCGCCTCATGCTGCGCGGGATCATCGAAAGGATCTGCGAACTCCAAGTCAGCAAAGCCTGACCCAACAGTGCTGAGAGGCACTTCGGGTTCCTCCTGTAGTAGATGCCCTCGTCGAAAGACTGGTGCCTGGACGCCTCCATCTTGATCGTTTAGCTCTGGTGCCTCTTGCTCAGTGGGGCCCCGCGTGCCTCGTCGGTGATGCCTCTTGCAGTGCCAGTTGGGCATGACTAGGACACGTAGGAGATCTCCTGCCACGCTCCATGCTGGCGTTGCTCTCCACGAGGGGGGGCTCTTGAGTGCCCTGCGTAATTTCTCCACGTCCTGAAGTGCGTCCATATGTGCCTCCATGTAGTCAATGGGCTCGCCATTCCCCTCATTTGGGTCAATCCATTCAAGAAGCGACTGTGCCTGGTTCGGGTCGGTCTCCACTGCAAGCGGTCTCCTCCAAAAGCCCGTGGCAACGATCGGGGTTTGGCATCTGTGGGGAACTCTCGCGCTGGCACCTCCCCTAATGCCGTGTTTCTGAAACCAGCTGATCCATTCTAATGCTGATGCTCTCGTCGTGGACTCGCGCGTGCATTCGTCCTCTCGGGCCTCGCCAGTTGCCTGCTACAAGCCGCGCTATACGATGTGCATCATAAAACTTGCGTTCCTTCCATGCCTCCCACAATGCCCCAACGCGGTTCTCTAACAGCTGGTTATGCATCTCTTTCTTGTTCAGCTTGAGTCTCCTGCTGATGCGGGCGATGTCCAGGTTGATGCTGTCCAGGTTTGTCTCGTCTTCTTTGGCCTGTCTACGCTGTGCCAGTAGCTTCGATACTTCTCTTGAGAATGAACAGTTCTGCTCTTTCTTCTCCGTGTAACCTGGCGCAGTGGTCAGCATCTCGTTGGCAACGTCGCTGATGCACCCCATCATTCCCGCATCGATCTGATCGACATTGCCCTCGTACTCCCACTGCTCGAATTGATTCTGATGCTGCGACAGTCGTTCCTCCACTCTCTTGGTGAATGCTTCTCTCTGGTGCCCATGTAGCAACGTGGCATTTCAGGCCTCCGCGTTCGGCTTGCTCGCCTTCTTCACGTGCTGTTGGTACTCGAAGGTGTGGTAGAAGGAGACCTGCACGGGGAAGTGGTCCTTGGCCGATGTGCACCTGATGTGTTGTAATCTCCGCCCTTTCCGCCATGATACCATGCATTCTTGAACGTTGTCCAGCGTTGCTCTCGGTAGAATGATGTAGTCAATTCTCTTTCTGCAATCCTCTGCTATGCCAAAGTATGTGGCTCCTGCCTGGAAGAAGGTGTTCATCATGATGAGGTTGTGCGCTTTCAAAACAGGTTTAATGATACCGTAGTTCATGCCATCTTTCTCTGGTTCAGCTGCTCCCGCGACTGGTTGTTCTGTTGTATCCGCAGCGCACGTGGAGTTCAAGTCCGTGCCTATGACGGGAATGCACCGCGAGGGCAGCTCG